TTTATTCAATTTCATTTGTGAATGTTTGGCTGTTTCTCTATTATACTGAAGCAAGTGGTATGTCATCACTGCTACAAATTCCTGTGGGTGGGGGCTACTAATATTATGAGTGTGGCGTTCGGTTTTAGGAGTAAAAAAAGAAAAAAAAGAAAGAAAAAAAGCGTAACAAATTACTGTTTAGCTCCAATTTGTAGCAGAAGAATCGGTAAAATTGCAGATTAGTACCCAGAAACCAAATTTAAAAAAAAAAAAAAATCCTGATGTAAAAAGGCCTGATTATTCCAAAAATAGCATTAAAAATTTGCGCAAACCTACCGTTTAGGAGATATTGAAAATATTAGTTGGGTCTTATTTGTGTCTCGATTACAGTCCGGTCGCCATTATTGACTTGAGATAACACCCCAAAGCCTCATTCCTGGCGCTAAAAAAGACTGATTATTCCAAAAAATAGCATTAAAAATTTGCGGAGATCTATCGCAATCTTAGTTGAGTCACGTGTACAGCACGGCCGCCATTACGGGACTAGATTACTGCGCGCAAGTTTGCCCATTTACTGGGTAACTTAAAAAAAAAAAAAAAAATCATTCCAGTTGTAAAAAAGCCTGATTAAAATTTAAGGAAACTCTACAAAAAATGATTTAAAAAATAATTTATTTCATTTGTGAATATGTCCTTCAAGGCACAAATAAAACCCAACTAAGACTGAAAACCTAGGAGACATTGACAGACTTTATTTTCCTTTTTTTTTTTTTTTTAACACCAGGAATGAAACTTTTTTTTTTTTAAATTGGTTTTTGGGTCCTAATCTGCAATGTTACCGAAGAATCTTCCCAGTTAATGTCGAAAATGAATTGTAAAGAAAACATGTAAAAGAAAACACAACAGGATATTGAGTTGAGACGTTATTCCTTTTTATGTAATTTATGTTGATAATAAAATAAATTTAAAGACATGTTTTGTTTAGTGTGTGTTAAATTGATATGCGACACATAACATAAATGCTTTTAGTATTAGGATTATTTGTTTGTATGTATTCCCTCACTTTTTTTTTTTTTTTTTGATTTACTTACTTGAAATGTATCAGTCCCGAATTCTTTTGGGGATTAAACTGCATAACCAGTAATGAAATTCGGAGTTTTGTAGTAATCGAATTTTCACGTCTGTTGTATTTGTAATCAAAAAGTCCCACTACCATCTCTAATTCTAATATCATACTGATTTGGGCGGTAAAAGAAGAGAACAGTTTTTCTATTTTTAGCTATGATGAAATATTATCACTTACAATACACTTGTAGCCCCTTCCCGTGCGCGCACGCGCACAACCACTGCTAGTTTATATCAACGAGACAAAGCTCTGAAACCAGAACTTTTGGTAAACCAAAGAATGCGTAAAATCTGAATTTTGGTTTGGTCAAGCAATTACTTTAATGGAAAGCTTCCGATATATAGCTGTTTATTTTTTTTGATATTACTATTATTAATATTATTTTTCCTCTTGAAACACGAACTTAATTTATTTCTTTTTCGAAACATCTTAAAATTAAAGTCAGTGCTGCCCAGATATAGTAAAATAAATGATTTCTAAAAGATAAGCAGAATATTAAGAAACAAAAAAAAAATCGCTAGAAACAAAGAAAAGTGTACGAAAATCTTACGTGAAATCTGTCCTATAGAACAGTGAATGCTGAACAATCCCCCCCAAATGAAGAAGAGACTTGAGGCAACAGAAATGTGGTTCTACAAGAAGGATGCTGAGAATACCATGGACATAACATGTGAGCAATGACGAAGTTTTAAAGAGAAATCGAAGCAAAAAAGGAAACATACTTAACATCAGGAAGCGACAATTGTTATTTCTATAACACATAATGATGAAAGAAGGCTTGAAAATCTGATACTTCATATGACAGCCTGAAGGCAAGAAGAGAGAGAAAAACAATGTACAGATGTACTTAGTGAGCTTGAGTAAATGATGAAGGCGGAACAAGGTTTAAGAGAAATAACAAAAAAACAAAATATATTAAGAGCTGTAAAGGGTAGGAAGTTGTGGAGAGCTTTGATCGCTTACGTCCTGAAGGGGCACGTTACATAAAGAAGAAAGATATGAATGGGTTTGATCCGAAAATCATTAGCCTACTTACCTCCTTTCGTCTGTAAAACGTGTTTGCTAATAATAGCCTCACATTTCGTTCAACGACCGAAATATATTGATATAGAATATGTTAATGGTTCTAAGTGATATTTATATTAGCAGCCATACCCGGCTGGTCGATCAGAAAAAGCGTTCAATTAGAATGAAGCAAAAACAGCATCATGTTTAGATGTAACAGAGTCTATCTTCTTCAATTACTTTAAAGTATTTTCATTAAAAACATTTTGAATTAATGCAGTTACTGATATAACAGAAGTCGTCTGTATTTATTCAATCGAAGTTAGCCGAGGACATGAAAGGGTAAAACAGGCAGCATAAAGACCCACTTCAGACCACAATTATTTGAGAGTTTTTTAAATTCAATTTGTCAGAGTGCTACCTGGGATGTAAAAGAGAATACATTTATAAAGCAATTGTTAAGTATGATGAAAATTGGTTGAAAGATCGACGAAAAATAAGAAAGAAACCCACAAAAATCGCCATTAGTCGCTATTTACGCCGGTTTTCACTATATGGGTGGACTCAATTATCAAGTTAAATGACTGCTAAACAATCAACATTGCTGGCTACAATTGAGTGAAGTTTGTATTAGATTGCTTGAAAATTGAGGGAGTTTTTAGTTTAAAATTTGTGTTGAAATCGATTTTCCGTTTCTCGCGGTTTTTCGTTAAAGGCAGTGGCGTAGAAATAAAAAGCTCGTCGTGATGTAAGTAACCTATATACCGAGTTTGAACGAAATCACAGGAAAAAAAAGTTGAATTTATCGATGTTTGATCGGCTTTTCGATCAATGATCTTTTTAAAATTATCAATTTTTTTACAATAAACACCTACCTCTTACATCGTAAAATGGATATGTCAAGTTTGGTCAAAATTGGTTAGATGGATCTCGAGTGACAAAGTATCACACAGATACACAGACATCCTCTGTATTATATCTAGAAATAAAATATAACTAAAGCAAAATTACTTCTGAAATTAGATAATGTTTCGCACATTTAGGATATAAATAATTCAAATATCTAAATTTAATTGGGGGAGAGTGGTTTCCTCGCTTACTTATTTTGTATATCAGAGTAATCCTTATAGACTGGCTGCCATCAAAGGCTAACGAGAGGAATCTACTCTACTACTTGGGGTCATGCCTAACTCTCAGGTTTTGAATAAAAACATAGGGATGGAATGAGCGGGGATATTGGGTATTTTTCTTTTAAATTTAAAAACAGGGGGAGTTGAAAAAAAATCTAATGTAGGGGTAGGATTTATTTTAAGATTAATAAGCAGAGGTGGGTAAGATTCTTACAAATCAGAGACTATCCATAGAGATCTCTGTGAGAATGAACGGAACAGACATTTGTCTAGTCTTGGTCTCAACAAGAAGCGTATCGATTACTGATTATTTGAATCCGTAAATCCCAACGGATCTTCGAACTGCGTCCTTCTCTTGGGTAAAAATTGTCCCAGCATGAGAGCTTTACGCTAGGCACCTATCTCTTACATTGTACAATGTGTATGTCAAGTTTGGTCAAAATCGTTTGGATGGATCTCGAGTGAAAAGATATCACACAGATCTCATCTATTTCTTTAGTATTATTATGCATAAAATAAATATTTCTTTCGTTTATACATTTGATATTTAAGTATGATCGGAAATTATAACATGTACAGTAATAAAAACTTTTTTTATTTTAGAAAATAATAAAATCGTATCTAGTCATAATGATTGATTGATTGATTGATTAGTTTTTACGGATTATTTAAAGTCAGAAAGTATTTTTAGATTTTAAGAATTCTTTTTGGAGACAATAATGATTGATTGATACAAGTTCTAATAATTATCACATAGCTTGTGTAGCGGTGGAGTCATACCTTTTGCCAAAGTTATTTGCGCGTAAGTGAATATAATGACCTCGATTGGAATTGGAACACTGTTCACTGATTTCTAATTCAGAATCGTTACCCATTACACCATCCGTACATCCGAAATTACAAAAAATATGGTTTTCCCAAACGGTCACCCATCTAGCTTCTGATCAGGTTCGACGTTGCTTAAGTTCGGTGATCGTACGAGATACAGAAGTTGAACTATGTGGAAATAGTTATAACAGGCGATAAAAAATGTGGCACAGAAAATATTTAAATGTGACAGAAAATGTTTAAATCGGAAAATGTGGCACAGAAATCCAAAGGCGCGTTTAAAGATTTGTTGTCATTAAGTTAGGAGTCGTCGTTTGAAGCTGAGAAGGTGTTGTGTTGAGGAATAAAAACCTAAAAGCGTTGAATTGGTTGAGAAAATAAATAATAAGCAAAGAGGAAGGAAACGATATAAATTTTGTTCTGTCAGGACCACTTTTGAAGAAAATTTCTAGGAATCTTCCTGAAAAAAAAAAAAAAAAGTACAAATTCAATGAATGTTCTTAAGAGTATCTATAAAGAATAAGTTGAATTTGTTGAGTGTGGTGTATTGCGCCATGCGCTAATCTTAGAGCCATATCACGAATTTCGTCCAAAGTGAAAGTGATAACCTATTGGGATTCACGGTTGGTTGGTTTTACGCAGCTGAAAGAGGGTTGATGTTACTGACAAGGTTGTCAACGCACTCGTGTCTAGCTAAAAGGTTTAAAGTCTGCTACATCATAAAGTAACCACAGGCCAATATTTACAAATCGAAATAGGTTTACTGAATTTTACAAATGTCTTCCAAATGAAAAATATTATGCCTGATATTTTTAGCATTTGGCGCAATATATTTACGCGAGGAAACATTTTGAAAGCTGAGGCATATTACATCTGCATATACAGGAAGGATTTTAACATTTACAATCATGATAGGCATTAATAATTAATGCGACACGTTCGCTTTCATGATCCCGCGAGTATCCTTTGGGAAACCATAGATCCGTTCCAAAGGAAGTATGCGGGCAAAACTGAAACTTAAAGGAAATGACGGAAGGGCACCACCAGGGGTGGAGCCGGCGGCTTAATTTGACTCAACACGGGAAAACTCACCCGGCTTGGACACCGGTAGGATTGATAAATCGATAGCTCTTTCTCGATTCGGTGGGTGGTGATGCATGGCCTTTACTTAGTTGGTGGTGCGATCCGTCTGGTTGATTCCGATAACGAACGAGACTCCAACCTGCTAATTAGTGCGCCGATGTGTGTGTCTATTACTCGGGCGGGTGGGCTCGTCGTTCATCGTGTCTGATCCGAGTTGGTTTTCTCATTCACTTAGAATGAGTGAAAAGGCGGAGCGATATCAGGTTTGTGACGACCTTAGGTGTCTAGGGATGCACACGCGCTACCCTGGGGGGTATCAGCGGGGGAATTCGCCCCGGTCAGAGAGGGTCTGGAAATCTCATAACTATCTCATGACCAGGGGAATTAGGGGTCTGTAATGAACCCCGTGAACGAGAAGATTCCCGGTAGGCGTGCGTCAACAGCACGCGTAGCACACACTGACCGTCGCTACTACCGATCGAACGGTCTGGTGAGGTCCTTTAATCTGGCCGACGACGCGCCGAGCAGTGCGCTGTGGCCGTCTCCGTTACCCACGCATGTCGTTCCCGTCTCAGCGTTCGAAGCCTGGATAAGACGAACGAACCCGGTCGTTTAGAGAGGAGGTAAAAGTCGTAACAAGTTTTCCGTAGGTGAACATGCGGAAAGATTAATTACGTCGCGACCGAGATAGAAAAACGCCGAATCATCAAATCCACGGGAGGTGTCGACGAGTTTGAGAGGGAGGTGTAAGTGATCAGCTGACGAAGAGTTCAGTCGGCAAGTGGGCACAAAGGCGAACGCTTCGATTCCGTTGCACTCGTTTAGGGAAGAGCAAATTATCGTCGCAGCACCACACCACACCAACGCCGCGCTCTCCGCCACCCCATCTCTTTCGGTTGCGAAAGTTTTCCCGTCGGAACTTAGTTTTATCGCACAAAAAAATTCATATACTTCGTTATCATTTTTACCGTTAAAAAATTATCTGGTACATTTTTGATTTAAAACTAATGATTTAAAATATAGTGTTACCTTCGTTATTTATTGTTATATATATATATATATATATATATATATATATATATATATATATATATATATATATATATAAATATTGAAATGTAAATATGCGGGTCCAGAAGCGGTTTCATGCGAGATTTTAAATTGTATGATAATGTAACGCCCACTGTTGCACCTCTTAAGTGTCCTGTTTGTGTCGGAGTATGTAGGTACCTTGCTGGACTAAAGAGCCACATTCATTCAGCACATTTGTAGATATTCTCCAAAAAGATATGTAATAATGGCCCTACTCGGACACGAGTTGGCAATCACCATATATATGTTAAAAATTAGGAGATCAATGAATCCGCTTCCTTTGTTTCAACCTTACAGTATCCTCAGTCGATTTTTATCAATTGACCTCCCAACGCTTTATCTTTTACAAATGTAATTAACGCTGTATTATTTAAAAAAAAAATAAATACACGGAATTGCGTGTAATTGAAAAGGAGGAGGATGTGATCAAAGAAGAAGTGGGGGGGGGGAAGAAAAGGCAAAGCAAGGGTTTTATAAATGTATCGGTGGGGGTTAATTGAAATATATATATATTTTTTTATCCAGCCTTGTATGTGCTTAAGAGGAATTTTTTAGTATGTATACAAGGACTTATGACTTCGGATCAATATATTTATTAAAAAGAGGCCATTTGTGCGTAGAGGAGTGGAAGATAACGATTTACCCTAGCCTTGAACATGTTAAGAATGTAGTGATCGTGGAAACATCCTCTTGGGATTCGGTTCCACAGCGCAGTGGTTCGCGGATGAAACTGTCATAGTGGTACTTTTTCCAATGGAATACGTTGGGAATATGGGTGATTTTCTACTATGTACGTGGCATGTCGTGCCCTTGGCGTGAGTGTTATAAGTGGCGGGACCAGGGAATGTGGTACGCCCGAGCTCTTTCCGTGGAAGTAGCGATAGATCAGCCAGAGACTTGCCACATCCCGCCTGTGGGGGAGATGTTGGAGGGTGGAGAATAATTGGTCACCCACAAGGGCTCGGAGACGCTTTTGGACTATCAGCAGCTCCCACCCAGTTATATCAACAGTACTCTATTATTGGTCTGATCTGGCTCAGGTAGAGGATAACAGGATGTAGCAAGTACTTACTGGGGCGGTACTAGAAGGCGACCATTTTACCTGCAGCCTTACCAATGGATCTTATTATGTACAACTTCAACTCGAGGTCAGCTACAAGTTTGATGCCCAATAGTCTCAAGACACGGTGCCTCCTTGAGGGAACATCGTTCATACTGTTTGGTGGTCGTTCGTGACCCGATCGGCGATGATGAGGAACTACTGATTGTAACCAGCCAGTTTTTACCCCATTGGATAGTTTGTGCAAGATCGGAAGAGAGATAAGTCGCCAATCTCTGACCATCAAGAGTTTTAGAGGTGCGCTCGTATATAGTCGTATAATCGGCATAGATGTTTACGAAGGATTCGACTATATTCTTAGGTAGATTATTTATGTAAATCAAAAAGTAGGTTGGTCCGAGGAGTGACCTCTGGAGGGACGCCTGCGTTGACCGCTAGTGCACCGGAGGACTGACCATTAATAACTACCTTCAGTAACCTACATGTTAGGAAGGATTTTATGATCGAGATGACCCTTCTAGTTATTCCATACCTGGAGAGCTTGTGTAGTAAATCTTTACCACACCTTGTTAAAGGCCTTTGAGATATCTAATACTATGGCCCTAGATGTGTTTTTGTCGTCAAGAGCCTCACTGTTTCGAAACTGATCATCTGTATTCAAGTTTAATTTCAATATTAAACATTAATTGTTGGATGACCGTTTCATCCTCAAGCGACGTTTGGAAGAAGTAAAAGACATCGGACTATACAGAGATGATGGCCTCATGGTAGTGAGAAGTTCCACTAATCAGAAAATAGATAAAATAATATATAGTTAATTCAGAAATCTAAATTTAAAAACTCCATCAGCACAAAACTGAAAAGGGTAAATTTTCTCGACATAACATTAGACTTAATGAATAACATAGCTACCTTAGAGAAAACCTAATACTTATTCCTTGTATGTACACAGGTCAAACCATCCTCCATCCGTAATTAAGCACATACCATCATCAATAGAGAAAATAATTAGTATGAATTCCGCAAATGATGAAATATTCTATAAAGACAGTAAGTTTTACAACCAAGCTCTAAAACACAGTGGCTACAAACACCCTAACATCAATTATATAAAAAAAATAATGCAAACCAGTTGAAAAACAGAAAAAAGAAAAATAATTTGGTACACCTCCCCGTTCAACCAAATGTTTAGTAATAAACTAGGACAAAAATTCCTAGCTTTAATCGAAAAACATTTTCCTACTAACAGCAAACTTAAGTTCTTTAATGAAAAATTATGTAATTATAGAAACGCTGAAAATTGCACTTTGAATAATAAATGCCGCATAGAATCTGTAATATACCAATGCACAATCTAATCCATTGAGAATCCAAATATTGAAAAAACATAGGATCCACAGAAAATGAATTTAAAACAAGGTGGAGACTACACAAATGCTCGTTCAATAACATTAGAAACAGAAATCAGACATCTCTAAATATTTTGGCATTTAAATTAAAAAGTAAAACATCAACAGTAAAATTGAAAATAATAAATAGAACAAGAACTTGTAGAACCTGGGATGACCCATGACCTTTAAGTTTACACGAAAAAGTTCACATTATCAAGTATGTAAAAAAATGAAAATTTATTAAATGAAAGAAATGAAAACGGTTTTTTGCAAACACCACCAAATGTTCGCTATAAATATTTTATAAACGGATAAAAAATAAATTTCCATAATACCATATAAAATTACAAAATACCATATAAAATCTATTAAAGAATTCAATTAAAATAGGTTTAAAAACACACCCCAATCATAATCTTAACGCCCTTTTAAGTAATCATCAACAATAAATGAATAAATAAACAAATAAACAAAAAAGGACCGTAAATACAGCATCAGAGTTTTAGCAGATAATAATAAAAAAGACAACGGATCCTGATAAAATTAACCATTGTAGCCAGAAAAAAAATACCAAAAATTTAACCTATAACAAACACCCCTACTTTCATCAAAGCAGAGGACCCTTGTTAATGAAAAACTAACCCCAGATTACACCCCCATCTAAAAACTATAAATGTGTAAAACATTTCGTTGTTTAGTTATTCCAAATATTGTTGGGCCTCCTCGAGGCGGTGTAAACTTAACTCACTGGAAGCAATTACGACTAATTAGTTGGTTCGATCCTCACTGGGTGCCCCTAATTTCATTATCGTGCCATCTAAGCTACGCTTGGAAAATCCTGGGCACCTCGGCGTTGTGTAATGTAGTTAGCAAGCTTGTCTCGCTAGAACACTTACAACTGAAAGTGAGTTCGATCACCGCTAGATGCCCCATACTTTCAGCCTTGTACTTACATCTAAGCTATGCTTGGAAAAACTATTCAAACATTGTTTTTGAGGATGAAACAGTCATCCAATAGTTAAGGATTAATATTGAAATTAAACTTGAATATGGATGACCAGTTTTGAAGCATAGTAATTTCTGTGTCACCATGGATAATCATATATATATATATATATATATATATATATAAAAAAAAGAGAGAGTGATGGGTAAATTATTGGGATTTTGAATTTTCGCACATTCGCATTGTTTATGATTTTGTCGACTCTACAGTATAGTAGGGCCAGTTGGGCACGTCTGTGAGAAAAAGAGCACCATGACGCAATTCACTCCGCCAGAAATTTGAAAACGTCATGCTGTACTGCTTGGCGTTCGCTCTGGAAGCTCCAATACGAACATTTCAGGCTGTTTGGGTTTCAATCTGCGGACAGTGAAGAGGATTCGGAAAGAGTTGAATGATTTTAATGGCGATTACGAAGGTACGGCATATCGGAAAATTCACTCTGATCGTTCTGATCAAGTAGAACTCCAAAATTTGTTGGCACGAGTTTCAGATTCAACACGGAGGCCTACATCAAGTGCCTTGAGCAGGTAGTGCTGCCCCGGGTCTAGAGAGTGACTGTTGAAAGACCCTATGTCTGGCCACAGGACTCGGTTCTCCTGCTTGTGTGACATGGTACAGAGTCATGGCTATCAGACAATTTCTGCGACTACATCACCATGATCTGGCCACTGCTCTCTTCCACTGCAAATCCCTTTGATTGTATGGGTGAAATTGAGCAAGAGACCAACAAAACTCCTAACACCAAAGATGAACTGAAGGCAAGGATTATGGCATTATTAAACTCCAACTAATACAAGGATACCGTCCAGAAGATTTCGAAGTCGTCTGGAGGCTGTCATTGAAGTCAATGGCGATATTATTAAATCAATTTACTCTTTAGTTTTTCAAGATATTTTGTGTAATTTTGGTAATATATCTTTTAAAATGAGATGTTAGTGTTATTTTCATTTTATGTCTTTTAGACGACAATTTATCCATTAATTTATATATATATATATATATATATATATATATATATATATATATATATATGTGTGTGTGTGTGTGTGTGTGTGTGTGTGTGCGCGCGTTGCTCTTTACATTCATTCAAAACACACAGACCGCCGGTTCTTGTCTTTCCAACTAGGGATTTACTTAATTATATCAGTGGTTATGTCAACCCAACAATTAAATGCAACAAAAGAAAGCTAAGGACGAGACGGATGCTAACGAGGAGAGAAATGAAATGTAAAGAAAATGACGGTTTGTCACATTATTAAGAAAACGCATAATGAACTATTAAAAGTTCATGGAGTACAAATATGTAATCTCGTTTCAGAAACAATCTCACGTTCAAGCACAGTAACACTATTTTTTTTTCTCTCTTCGTC